GAGCAGAGAATAAACAGCTCATCACTGGGCCTGATGAGTGTTTGCCAAGAGAGAGCACTCAAGAATGACATTTCAGTGTTTTCTTTTCCGAAGGTAGCTTGAGAATACTGGCAACCCCAGTAATGAGGGAGCTGTCTCAGGCACAGGTAAGAGGTAGCATTCAAAGGGCTTCATATTTTCCCACTTAGTGGGCATCTCAAACTTGCTTAAGGAAAATATTCCTCTTGATAAAAATGGATGGTGCGGCTAAGGCTGGAGGGTGTTCTGTGGGCTGCCTTAAACAGCGTGGGTCCATGTTCAAACGCAGGGCTGCCTGGGCCCAGGCGGGACCCGTACGAGGCAGGTCTGCACCTGGAGAGTGGTGATGGGACACCAAACATCCCTGACACTTTAATTACTAAAAGCCTTCTTTCTTCCCCTGTGGTTAAAGGCAGCAGTGCTGGGAATGATGAAGTCTCCCGGAGTGTGCCGTGAGGATAAATTGTACCTTTAACCCTCAGCTCCACCCCTGGCCTCACAAGTTATGCGATGTAATCGTGCCTCAGGTTCCCCAGAGGTAAGACTTAGAGGGGATGCAGAAAGGACTCTCAGCCACTACAAGGAGTGGATTCAGACACAAAAGAGCAAAAGCAAAGGCGCAGAGATGTGCGTTCATAAATATAAAGTGCCTAGCAGCTCACGATCAGCACCTGACACGTTACATGACCTACTTATGCAGAAATATGGAGTCTTGCAATTTTCAAGTGATCAGCATATGTGAATACTCTGTACTAACTGAAAGTGTTTTCCACGAGCTTTTCATGTTTCGGCAACTGTGTGTCTGTCTGCCTTCCTTCTGTAGGTACGCACTTTCCCACAGGCAGGCAAGCTGAGCTGGGTGCTTCTTGGTTCTGCCTGCACAGAAGGCACAGAGCATGCGCCCTGGGCAGAGGTAGAGGAGGGCGTTCCCTCCAGGGACCTGGTTCTGCTGGTGTTCCATCCGGGCCCTCTGCTGATCCCCTGCTTCATAGGTCCCGTGGTTCTGGGGATTTGTGACTTCTAGTGTACTTGATTCCAGGGGGTCGATCTCCCTGTGGATGATATCAGTGTGCCTAGCTTCCAGTCTAACGGAGAAATCTTAATCCTTAGGTGCATGTACCCTGCCTCCAAGTCATTCCTGTGGCCCAGCCAGCACTGGCTTCTCGCCTGTCCTGACGACCACGCAAGCTCCCCAGGTCCTGAGCCCTCGCTTCTGGTGGTGCAGCTCCCGCCTGGGTATGACTCACTGATTACAGGGACTGCTAAGCCTTCTCCTTTTTGCTGGATTAGATGGAGAGGACCCAAAGAGGTGAGCCTGGGAATATGGGAAGAGATAATGGCCGAGGAGTTCAGGGAAACATAAAGCACAGACTCAGGGAGAGGTACAAAGTCCAAACAAGATCAAAACAAAGGAAGCCATTCCTCAGAAGACCAAAGACCAAGGACAAACCCTTAACAGCAGCTAGAGAAAAGAGACAGATCACCTTCAAGAGGAGGAACAATAGCTGGTTGTTTAGTCAAAGCTATGAAACTCAGGTAACAAGGAAATCATATCTTTAAAGGGTGAAACAAAAGTAATCTCAAACCAGAATTCAGTATCCAGTGAAGACATCCTTAAAAAGAGTGGTGAAATAGACATGTTCTGAGAAACAGTTGAGAGAGTTTGACATCATGAGACTCATATGTAAACATTAAATGGCATTATTCATTGACTAGTATTTCTAGGATGATATGAAAGCTTATTGATAGTAGGAATCCTTTTGGTTCCTGACTTTTAAACGGAATGCCGATTTTACCACCAATTAGAGCACTGACTTGGCTTACAGAGAAATAGGTATTCTTTATAATAAATATCTATCCTCATCTGATTAACACCTTGAATATGGAATGTATGCCAATTCTTTCCTAAAGTGGATTTTGAAAACATAGCATTTTATGTGACTCTGCACAATATATGAATACCCATCCCTCTGACGAGGTTTTCAATAAGCAAATGTATACTACGGCATGTTTCCCAAGGTCTCATGTTTATTAAAAGAGATGTAAAATGACGTCATTTGCAGCAACACGGATGAACCTAGAGATTATCATACAAAGTAAAGTAAGTCAGACAGAGAAAGACAAATACAGTATGATATCACTTATGTGTGGAATCTAAGAAAATTATATTGTACAAATGAACTTATTTACAAAACAAATATACTCACAGACACAGAAAACAAACTTATGGTTACCAAAGGGGAAAGGCAGTGGGAGGGATAAAATTAGGAGTCTGAAATTAACAGGTACACACTACCATATATAAAATAGATAACCAACAAGGACCTACTGTCTACCACAGGGAGCTATACTCAATATTTTGTAACAATCTATAAGGGAAAAGAATCTGCAAAAAGTACATATATACATATAACTGAATCACTTTGCTGTACACCTGAAACTAACACAACACTGTAAATCAACTATACTTCAATTTAAAAAAAGAGAGATGAAAAACTATTACGATTCTTAAATACTTCTTTATACAGTAATTTTCATCCCCTAGAGAAACACATGGTTAACATATTGGTAAAACTTGAAAACATTTTAATGTAAAAATACTCATTTTCATATACAGTGTTGTAGAAAGCCATGTGGAACTTGGGAAGCGTTGGCATTTGCAGTCAACAAAAGCAACACTGTAATACCATGCTTTAACACCAAGCCGGCGGCTTCAGAGTCTCTAAACAGCTCTGTGACAGGCACCCACCACGGTGCAGGGGCCTGTCCTGCCCCTTGTCAAACAGGCTTGATGCTAACCTGGTACTGAAAAAAGATCTGGAAGCAACTCAAATATTTTTATGACTGAAGTGCAACAAGATAAACACCCTGAGATGTGTTCCTATTCAGTTTTCTATGACTATGGAGCCTGGCATATAGTAAGGAAATAACAATCCTGAATTAGTTCAATCCGGATGACAGTTTTTCTGATGAAGCTAGTTACAAGCAAGAGAAATATCCAATGACTAACGAAGGTGACAGAAAGCAAGTACTCCACTGTACAAGATACGATCTGTTAAAGAGAATCACGAGAAACCAGAACATTTTGAGGCATCCTGAAAATCTGCTTTCAGTGTGAGCTGCTCAGACAACAAATACCCTTGGTAAACCAAATATCTCCAACCAACAAAAACTAGTGGAGAATGCCACGTGGACTCTGACATAGGAGTAACTGTAGCTGCCGTTTTATAAATGTTTCATGATGTGCTAAGGATTCTCATCCCATGTGTGACCTCAATCGACTCTTTCCACCAACACTGCAAAGTATTCAGTAACCCCATTTCACAGCTAAGGCATCTGAGGTGGAAAGGGGCAGAATAAAGTGACACCACTAGTCAGTAGCAGAGCTTCGATCTGAACTGAAGTTGGCCTAATTTGAAACCCCTTGCTCTTTAATTCTCATTTTCCCTTTACAGAAGATGATGATGGTGATGATAATAATAATAATAACAGAAATAATTTTAAAGACTGTTGGTGCTAGACTTAGGTCAGAAAGCCTTTCTATAAGCCAGGGAGGTTTGAGCTTTATCCTGTGGAATAGTAGAGCATAGGCAGTACACGATGTTAAGCAGAGGAATTAACACCAATAGGCAAAAACTCATTATTCTTTGTTATAGAACTTGTTATCGTGTGCAAATTTGTTTTTAAAATGTGGAAACAGCATTCAAAGCATGCCGAATTCAGCATCAAACCGTCGATGATATTCAAAGGTATGTGCACTGAGGTTTCTAAACACTGACTACCGTGGCAGAGCAGAAGTAATTCCTATTTCTTAGTAAGTCGATTGTCTTAAGCGTTATGTGGGTGTCTTCCAGACCTTTTCTCTTTTCTATAAATCACTGAGCTCTAACTGAAGACTTATTAGGTGGAAAAACTCTAATAAGTAGTAATTAGTACATTCTTAAAAGTGTTCACATGTTTCATTTAAGTGGGATGAAGAAGAGAATGACCGTGTCATCTCTCGGTGGCTGTCATCAGTACCGAAAATCCTTCTGAAGGACAGGTAACATATGAGCAAACAGGTGCAACTTAGGGCACAAAACGGCGTAACTTCTGTTAATCCCTGAAGGTCCTAATGGAACACACTTTAAATGAGCTAAGAAAGTAAGACAACTACTCTTTAAACTTTCCTGGCAGCAGTCATTCTGGTCTAACTTTTCATTATTATACCTCTATGAAACTGATGGATTATTCCGTGGAAAAACACCACTGAAATGTTGTATTGCTTCAATTGCTTCCATCAGACTCACGTAGAAAAATAAGAAAGAATATGTGGGCTTTGACCACACATCCGTATTCCTCTTTTGTACAAAAAAGTACAGTGTTTGTCTGCAGAGTTGGCTAAAACCACAAAAACACCACCACCACATTTAAGACCACATTCACCCTAGAGAAAAACTGACCCTGATCTACATCATTAAGAGGCATTAAACCTGTTTGTCTTATTCATGCAAAATGGCTTAATGATTAGAAAACAGCAACACAAATATTTTGGAAGAATGAGATACCAAATCACGTACGTGACCATTTCACTGAGAGCCTTTCTTTGCTGTACGCAAAGACAGCATGGTTCACCTAAAATATGTAAATGCCTACTATATATAAAATAGATAACCAACAAGGACCTACTGTACAGCACAGGGAACTATACCCAATAATCTGTAATGACCTAAAATGGAAAAGAATCTGAAAAGGAATATATATATATAATCAAATCACTTTGCTGTACATCTGAAACCAATGCAACATTGTAAATCAACTACATTTCAATAAAAATTTTTTTAAATATGTAAATGCCACTTTACCATGTGAGCACTGTTTGGGTTAAGAGAAAAGAAAGTCAATCATGTATGTTTTGCATTTATGTTTTACATTTGTTAGACGATAATTTTTTTAAAAAAAAAGGTAAAATCATACTCCCATACAAATAAAACATGAACAAGTAAGTGTCAAAACTTTTATTCAATTAAACACACTGGTGAGGGAACAGTAAGATGTTACAACTGATTCCAAGGAGAATTCAAAGAACAGGCACGTATACAGCACTCAAGAATGTTGAAATGAATTTGCTGAAATGATGTAAAATTGGTCAACAGCCAGAGACAACCATGCACAGATAATCATTCCCCCTGACAATCACATACATCACTATCACCTTTCTAAGACCCACAGAATTGAAAATTGGCTCAAGGACAATCAGTAACAGAGACCAGGGCGGGACAGAGGTGGGGTGTCCACCAGTGGAAACACCCTGTGATTGTACTGTTCCCATTTTCAATGCCTCTCACTATATTCCCATCACAAAAGGCTGAGTAAATCTACTAAAAGCAGTTAATCACCAAAGTGTAATGTCCAATAAATTGTTCCAAAAATGGGCTACGGCTCTCGGTGGTAGCAAGGATGCACTCTGAAATCCAATTCTATCTGCATCAAAGAATGTATTAAAAAAATAAATGTTCTTAAAGGAAATGATTTCTCTGAGGCAGAAAACATTCTGAAACGTGGATATGCACCTCGATATAAGATGTAGGCTACCATTATATTCACACTGAAAGGAAACAACGGAAGATACGGTTCACAGTCAGTCTCTCAGTAGAGGTCCACAGAGATTTAAGGGCACATAAGGAATGTCAACATTTGCTGATAAAGAGAATGATTTATGAAAACCTCATCCTTCATGCGGATTTCCCACTCAGATTACAAACCAAACAGAATTACCATTACCACCTCACTTTTATTAGTTGCTAGCGCATGTTAAGATGAAACACTGAGGAGACTGACACAGTACACAATGTATATAACTAAAATAAATATGTACATACACATATATACATAAAAGCATATACATATATGTATATATATTTTACATTTTCCAGCCAGGGTTGAGAACAATGAAGAAGAAAAAGAAATGAACCCAAATTATTCAAATACTAAACATGACTATTCAAGCGACAATTTCCATCTGTGTTCTGGGCTGTCTCTCTTTTGCTTTCTGTCTGTCACGTTACAGTTCATTGACCCTTTAGAGAGTGTGGGCCAGACCCTCGTGGGATGAGAAGGCTTCACAGGCTGAAGGACTGTTTACGTGGAGGTCTGGGAGCTGGGCTTTCCTCTGCCCTTCTCCTGGGCAGCGTGGGCCACACGTGTGGGCGCAGGAGCCTCTCACTCATAGGGCGGCAGACCGAACAGCTCGGGCTGGAAGTCCTGCAGGGAATCCAGCACGAGGGTGGCCTTTGTGGTCAGGTCTCGGTTTAAGTTTCCGTCGGGAACCATGACCACCTGCATCCCAGCTGCGAGGGCGGCCTCCACCCCATTGGGAGCATCTTCAAAGACCAGGCACTGTGGGGTGAGGAAGAAAGAGAGGGTTGAGACGGCCTTCTCTGTAACCACACGTCTAGACTGGGCTTTCACTGCCCGCACCACCGTTAGCTGAGTCAGCTCGGTGTTCTGCGTGACACAGAAACGGAGTGGAGGCTGTCCGGTTTATGGTTTGTGGGGAGAAGAGGGCGCTGGCCCTTCTGCAGCCCGAGTGCGTCCCACCACGTCACTTTACAGGGAAGAGGTCCATCTTGGCCCCAAAGTGCTACCGAAATGTGGCACAGCTGAGTGGAAAGACTGGATTCTCGGTTTACAAATTTATTTTAATTGAATCATAAGAATCTGTTCAATTGATAATTGACCATGCTGAGCATGAGAGGAAGTTGTGAAAAGTAAGAAAAAATACGCTTTTTAGGTGTAAAGTGACTTCAGAGCTGGCAATGTTTCAAGTACTGCAGTTTGGAAATTAAACCGTTAGGATGTTTTAGTGAAAAACTTAGCCCCTGGGGGTACCCGTCACGCACCAAAAATCTCCCGAACACAAAGACTGAGTACCAGGTGCGGTACCTGTTTCAGCTTATTCAGACACCACCACTAAACGGGAGTGTCTGTGCCCCCGCTCGCGTCAGGAAGCTCCTCAACGTGCCATCCTGTGACCATCGCTACTGCGAGTTTCACGTCAGGACTCGCTCCAAATGCGAGGCAGAAGTCTACCCAGCGGTGAACGGGTGTGTCACCTTTTTATCACCTTCCTTCCAAGGAGAGCACCCACTGAGAAAGTTTCCCTTGGCTCCTGGAATCCCACACTGAATGTGAAAGCAGCTTTAGTCTTTTCCATTAAGATTCTGTAGGGGCTGGACATGTATAAAGAGGGCTCCTCCCGGCACCTCTGAGATGCTCTCCTGTGCCCCTTCTTCTCCACAAGTGCCCGAGGACGCCCGGGGGTGGCCCATGTTGGACCTGACAGTCTCCCCCTCACGTCCTCCCAGCCCCCGGCCCCCCTGCCACTGATCACAACGACTGCCCCCAACCCCACTTCATAGGTCGCTGCGGTCCCAGCCGCATGTGCTGGTGACCTGGAAACGGCTCCTGGGCACCAGCTGCCAGGTGCAGCCTGACACTAGAAGGTCTGCATCCTCTGATGTCTTTAAGTCAGTGGAAAACGCACAACACACACAAACACATACACATGCTCTCACACTCTCACTGCTGGTCTGCTCTGGAACAGGTTCACTGACTTCTTTTCTTTCCCTCCCTCCTTCCCTTTCTCCTGGAGGCTGAGCCATTTATGAGCTGACTCCCCCCAGGGCCAAGGTGAGGACCGAGTGAATTACTACTCGTCACAACAAGCCAGCACTAGGCACCGCAGAGAGCGGGCTGATGCCCGGGACACAGCGCTGAACTGGACGGTCCTGGGCACACGGAACACCCAGTCCCACTGCCTTCCTGTCAGGCTTCCTGTGGCCCCCCGTCTTGTTTCAAGCTCTCTGCCTCTACCGAGAGAAGACGGTTTCCCTCTCAGGGGGGAATGACTCCGCTTAGGCCGCCGAGGTGCCGTTTCTTAGTTATCTCATTCAGAGAGTTCCTGCCGGTGACGTTTCCGTCCCTGACTTTTTAAAGTTATGACCTGACCGTATTCTAAACGTCCCTGTTGTTTTACCTGGGACCATGGACAGGCACTTAAATGTCACCTGCTGACATGTTGTTCTTTGAATACGTGAGATTTTTAGGCTTTGTGCAGGCTGCGTGTGAGCTTTCAGCGGGGCGGAGGAAGAGATTTTGTTGATTCCTTGGCGTAACAGTGCTTGGCTCCAGTCGTGAAAACAGCTTTTTGTATTTGTGGGAGGGAGGTTCCTTCCAAGGAGCATGTGGGCAGGTGTGAGGAAAAGGTGGTGGCTCAGAAACCGTGGCACTGAGCAGAACAGGGGCCCAAGACACCTGTCCTCATCTGAGAACAGTGGTCAGCCCATTCACATGTGACAGCTCACCCGCATGCCCTTTAAGCTCCAGGAAATACAGATGAATGCCCACGTGCTCTGTCCACATGCCGTTTAAGCTCCAGGAAATAAAAGGAGGAACAGTGGCATGATCGGGAAAAGCTCCGTAGGTACTTACAGCTAATACAGGCGGCGTAACTGACATACCCTGTTTCTGAAGGTTTCACTCTCTCTGCAGGCGCGCACCGTTTATTGGTTTCTGTTTCCAATTTAACCTTTGTCCCCACCTAATTCTGGAATGAATCACCCCAACGCAGCACGGAGATGTGAAACGCGATGTTTAGGACGCATGCGGCAGAGTGAAGGGTGGCAGGCATCAGGGAGGCCAGCCTGAAGGATGACAGGGAGGAGGGATGTGTGAGGCTTGTGCAGCAGGAGGGCCATTGGAAGTGTGTCCAGGCAGATAAGTAAGGCTGGGCGCGCGAAAGGACTCAGGGCAAAGCCCGGCAGACAGGACGGGGAGTTTGCACACAGCCTCTTGATGCCAACTGTTCTGAAAGGTCAAAAGCAATTGTAGTCTGTGTTGTAAATACGGTCGGAAGAATAGCAGAAACCCTGATTGTATACATTGTGTCAGGAGCTCCTAAAGTTCCTTTCCTTTGCCTCCTCTCCTGCGGCCAACAAACGCCTTCCACGAGCGCCAGCTGGACCCTTCCCATGGGTCAACAAGAATCCGAGAAGTGCGGAGAAGTTAAAAGAGAAGTTGACGTTTTTAAAAGCGGACTGTAATAGGGAAGAACAAATACGACTCCATATTGGATCTGCTTCTTTAACTTTAGCCTTTGTACGCTATTGCTTTAGCTTCCAGTTAAGAATGTTGCCTGTAGCCTGAAATACACAGGAGAGCCCATTCTCAAGGCTCTGACCTTTAAAGGTATAACACCTTCCTAAAAAGTTGCAGAACAAAGAATACCATTTGTCTTATTGGAGGTCTACATGAACACCGCGACCAGACCTATGTGGACAGTTGCAAGAACAAAGGATTCCGGCACCAAGAAGTTTGCAGCGACTATCCACGCTGCTTCTTCAACTTGCCTCTCAAAATGCTTTGCTGAAACCCCTGAGGGAGTCTGGAGTTTTGGGGGCCTGAGCGACCGTCTGCTTGCCGGGCACTGCGGTAAACCTTTCTCTGCTCCAGACTCCAGAGTCTGAGTGCTGTTTGGCCTCAGTGCGCGTCATCGGGTGCACACGCCGCGTTTGGTATCGGAATCGGCCAGTGCATTAGAGGGTGCATGATACAGGAAACTGGACCCCTCGGTCCCTCTGCCCCGGCCCTGCCCTCCTCACACAAGCTGAACAGAGCAGCCAAATGCAGGGCAGGAACCACACACACGACGCGGATCCTGCAGAGGACAGCACCAGCGATGGGTCCAGGTGGCCGACCCCAGCCCTGGCAGCACACGGACAGCACCGGGAATCGTAGGGCTTCCCCTCCTTCTTACAAGGAGCAGAAATACAAAGCAGAACAACTAGATTTTGGAGCACCTGTGAAAATGCCTCAAAAGGTTTTTATGTGCTCCTTATGCTGTGCCCTGATTCCTAAGACCTAATGGTCTTCTAAGGACCACTCGTAGGGAAAGTTACCCAGAGCCTAGAATCGTGGACACTGTATGAACAGTCACCGCACGGCTTGTCTCTCTACTGAAACCAAAGAATAAACCTTTGAAAGTTACCTGGAAAGACTATGCCTGTTCATAACAGGACTTAACAGTCATAAAACCACTGAATCATAAAACCACTGAAAGACATAAGCTAAAGCAATACAGCTCACACCTTACACAAACAAAAAGGAGGAAGTATGTTTTCCCGGCAAGTACCAAAATATGTCCGGGCAGTTTCTAAAGGCCACATGTGGCTAACAGACGCTGGCCTTTGTCTCTCTTCTTCCTTTTCAACACTTCATTGTTCCCTCAGTGACCAGACCAGCCCTTCCCACCCAGAACTGACTGGTTGCACCTAACCTTAACTCGCTCACACCTACTTGTAAAGTGTGACTGGAGATGTGTACTTTGGTGTCTGCTGAAGAAATGTCCCTGTAAGAAAGGCTCTGCAGGGGCTGCAGCAGGTGCAGAGGCCAGGGGAGTAGAACGCCCGCCCTCCCTCGCCCACCTGCACCTCGTCCAGCGGCCCAAGATTCTGTGGACGGGTGTGGATGCAATGGTTTCACCAGTGCAGTGAGTTTTGGAGCACAGCACACATAGCAGGTACCCCAGGACACACTTCCAGTACTTCAAGGAAGCTGCCGGTCAGGAGTACTCTTCTCACAGCTTGTGCTTGGCTGTAAGCAGGCAGGGCTGCGGGGAAGGCGCCCTCTCACGGTGCCAGGCCGGGAGTGGGTACATGAAGACCGCCTGCTGAATTCGCGGCGGTGGCGGAAGCGCCCTGGTCGGGACTCAAAGCAACACAGGGGCCGCAGAGTGTCACCCTCGAGGGCAGCGGCCAGCCCAGCCCTCTCCTGTCACTGTCATGGCTGAGGGATCTGAGCCTGGGAAGCTCAGAGGTGAGCTGAAGGTCACACCAGCAGGCAGGTGACAGAATTTGGGAACTATGCCCGGGTCTCCAGAATCCAATGTTCTTTTTCACTTTACCAGGCTGAAAGCTAAAATATATCTGAATTCCATCTCCAGGAGAGCAGATGAGCTTAATTAAACTGTAGCTTGAGGGGTTTAATTTAGAAAGAATGACATTTCCAACCACCAGGTAGGTGAAGGGAAGTATATCAGGGGCTTATAGCTCACGGAGGTGCTGAACCCACTTCTCTGAAGGTGCTCAGACTCAGGAGCGCCCTGTAAGGCGGCCCACGTCCGCGACCGTCGCCCACGCTGCTCGTCTGAACCACGGGCTGGGGTAGCTAGGAGGTACTTTCAACAGGAGCATCAGGGAACTAAGATGGCTCATGTGGTAACTATGGAATTGCACAGAACTGAACCTTTGTCTGACGGTGGCGGAGAGAACGCAGGGAGGTGGATGGGATTAGGGAGATCCTTCAAAGGCAACAGGGAGTTTGATGGACAATGTCCTGGA